ATTGTAGGTTTTTTTTGTTTCTTCGAAAACTGTCTTTGTTTTTGCTAAAAATTTGAATATTTTGCTATTTCTGGACCTGTGTTCGTAAATTTGTAGGAGTTTTATTATTTTTTTTTTTGTGAAATCTTTGCTGTTTGAAGTTACGACACGAGTAAGAAATGTTTGGAAAGTTTTTTGGAAACAGTCAGATAGTTCTTTAGGTCAGCGCATGAACAGTTACTTGATTTTTTGACAACGAATTCCTTTTTTTTGTGTAGAAGTTGCTGAAAACTAAATTAATCACGTTCTAGATTCCATGGCGTAGACCAATAGTAGTTGGAATGAATCCAGATGGCTTCCTGGATTGGAGGGGGGAGGGTGGCATAGGAGTGTCGAAGAGAGTTTTTTACAGTAAAACAATTGCATCCTGCCCCCTTCCCCCCTCCCCCGCACCCACATCAGCAGTGAGTTGAATGAAGAAATCGTGGAGGTATTGGCAGCCGAAGGCTTAAAGTTCAAAACGAGGACAGCCCGGTTTGCCTGGGAAACTGGGAGACGATAATCTGAAGAATCTCTGAGGAAAATAGCATTCCTGAAATCCAGAACTAGGCAATGGTGTTAGTTAGCATCGCTCTGTCTTCAATAACCCTTTTTTTTAAGCTTCAAGACAAGAAGCCATTACATAAATATGGATTACAAGGGACGCATCATCTTTTGCCCGGTACTGGAAAAGTAAGTGCCACACTGCCGACCAGAGCTGTCCTCAAGAAAGACAAAATTTATGCGTGGTGCTCGTGCGGTTACAGCGGCAATCAGGTATCATTTTTTTTTAGAATTACTTTTTTCTGCTATAATTCACAATCTACACAGTTTTTCCAGTTGTTTTGACAAGTGCTACATCGTTTCGGTGGTCAGTTTGCTGGTATTCCTCACGTTATTTCGTTTTTGAAGAAATGACCGCTCAACAGTTTTCTTAACAGAAGCACTTTTTTCTAAAAGTCTAGCCATTTCTGGATGTCAGTGGTGTGTTTTAAGCATCACCACCTTTTCTTAAACTCTACCAAGTGTTTTAGAAATTTTTAAGATTCAAAACTATGAATATCTCTGTCTAGAGAACCTTTGACCACGACTCGAAATAC